CGGGGCTGCGCCGCTTTCGACGATGCAGTGGCGGCGGGGCCGCGGGGGAAAGGACGTGTCAGTGTCGTTGCCTCTCGTCCTATCCTCCGCGGCCGAACGTGGGCGGTTGGCCCGTGGTGGGCGCTCCAAGGGACTCTCTTCGGAGAGTCCGCACGGAAGCGCGTTAGGTGTTGCGGCGGATATGACACGCTGGTGGCCGTCCGTGGGACCACCTTCCAGGAGGCGGCCCGAAGAGCCTCAGTAGCGGCGGACATGGTGGTCCGCCGAATACAACTGCTGGGGCTCGAGGTCGCCGTGCCGAAGACGGATGTGGCCGTCTTCGGCGGGAGAGGTAGAGGTTGGGCGGTGCCGGCAGGCGCCCACATCTCCATCGCGGGAGTATCGGTCCCGGTCAAGTCCCAGATGAAATATCTGGGACTTGTCCTGGACCGGCGATGGAACTTCGGGGAGCATTTCCGGCAACTTGCTCCCCGAATAGTGGGCGCCGCATCGGCGTTGGGCAGGCTCCTGCCCAACCTCGGGAGGCCGGGAGCCCCATGCAGAAGGCTATACGCCGGGGTGACTCGGAGTATGGCCTTATACGGGGCTCCCATTTGGAGTGGGGCCATATCAGCGGCGACGAAGGCGCTGCTGAGGAGGCCCCAGAGGGTGGTCGCCCTGCGAATGTGCAGGGCGTACAGGACGGTGGCCTGCGCTGCCGCATGCGTCCTCGCCGGTACTCCGCCGTGGGACCTCGAAGCCGAGGTCCTGGCGGAGGTCCGCACCTACCGGCGGGGAATGAGGGACCGAGGCGAGCGACCCGCTCCCCAAGAGGTGGAGCGGGAGCGCCGCCTCGCGGCGCAGCGCATGCGGGACCGGTGGAAAGAGGGCTTGGCGGATCCCCCCTATGGCGCTCGTACCATAGAGGCGATCCGCCCTGTCCTCGTAGAGTGGGTAAACCGGTCCCACGGGCCACTGTCGTACCACCTTGTCCAGGTGCTGACCGGGCACGGCTGCTTCGGTCACTACCTGCACAAGGTGGCGAGGAGGGAACCGTCCCCGTCGTGCCACGAGTGCGGCGCTGCGGATGACACCGCGCAGCACACCCTAGAGGTGTGCAGCCGGTGGGATGAGCAGCGCCGCACTCTGACGGGGACTGTAGGGCAGGACCTCTCTCTGCCGAGCGTGGTTGCCGCCATGCTCGATAGCGAGGAGTCCTGGGAGGCGGTGGCTTCCTTTTGCGCAGAGGTTATGTCGCAAAAGGAGGCCGCGGAGCGGGTGCGCGAGGACGCGGCGGACGCGCACCCGCTTCGGCGCAGACGTACGGGGAGAAGGCGAAGGCAGTTCGCTGCTCGCCTGATCCCCTAGTGAGGCCAGCGGGCTCTGGACAGGGACTCCGGAGCCTGCATTGCACGGCCTCACTCGTCTGGGGGGCGGGTCGGAGGACAACCGACTCGCCCCTCCGTTGGCGCGGGAGCCCTGGCGCAAGCTAGGGCGGCCGGGCGGCGTCGTGGTGAATGTTCACCGATCCCACGGCGCCGACTCAACCGGCGAGAGGGAAACCCGGGGGGGTTTTAGTGGGGTAGGCCCTCCAGTCTGGAGGGAGAGTCCACACATAACCCCTGAGTCTCCCTGGGCTCAGGGGTATCCATAAAGATTTCCCCCCCGTCAAAAAGAAAAAAAAAAAAGGTGTTGCGGCGGATCCTGTCATCAGATCCACCGCGGGGGCTGGGGGAGCAGCTACTGAACTTCACAGTTGAGTGGATGCTGTCCTGGCCCCCCATGGCCCCTGGGTACCGGACTCGGGGGAGTTCGCTGCCCAGCATAAAGGGGCCCGGGATGGAAGGCTCGTCTGGTGTTCGGCGAGCCTCACATTCGGAGTCGGGGGACCGATGTGTCTCCCTTCTCGGGGAGGGACTGCGCAGGGCGCGGCCAGCCGCTGGTGGGGGCGCGGACGAGTGCAATAGCGTACCCGTACCCCCACCTACAGCGGAGAGGAGGAACAGTCCGAGGGTTTAGTGCGGTCGGGCTGCTCCTCTTCAGGGTTCAGCCCAGTCCCACATAACCCCGGCTCTGCCCCCGCGGGGCCCGGGTATCTGTAAGCAGATTCCCCCGGATTAACAAAAAAAAAGGGGGTCGGTCAGGGGGTCGATCCGAAGGTCGGTCAGGGGGTCGATCAGGGGGTCGGTCCGACCCCCTAACCCACCCAGTAACCGACCCCTGACCGACGCCCTGACCGACCCCTGACCGACGCCCTGACCGACCCCCCTGACCAACCCCTAACTCACCCCCAATCCAACAATTTATCATAATTGTCAGTTTTAATTGTTAATTGTTAATCAAAAACATTGAAAAGATTGAAAATTGATTAATTGTTAATTGTAGATATACGCTATTAACGATTGATCAATTGTTAGTTGCGAGAGCCGAAATTAACAATTAATTAATTGTTAATTGCGGTTCTCGCAACAAACAATTGATCAATCGTTAATTGCTGTTTCGCAATTGACAATTAATTAATTATCAATCTTTAATTGCCAGACCAATTAAATGTAGCCCAACACTGGCTCTTGCCAGGCTTTTCAACTGAATCCAAGGCGGCTAGTTGGTATTGAGCAGAACTATCCCATAAATGGCAACAGTGCTCTTTACACGACCGGATGTGTGCGTTGAACAGTTTTTTTAAGCAACTGCCCCAGAGTCAAGTAACACCTCACCTTGGAAAGGATGTCAAACTTCCTGGTTGCATTTTTGACCATGGATTCTATACATCTGCCGAAGTTCAAACTGGACAATAGGTTCATTCCAAGTAGCTATCGTTGGTCGGCTATCGGTATGGATATATCATAAACAGTTGGGAGTCAAGTCAAAGGGACTAGACACGCCTGCGTTTTAGAGCGTTCCATTTTATAAGTTTGGCACCACCCCAATCAGAGACAGCCGAAGTGTCAAATCCAAACGACTAATCATAGACTCTCGACAAGACTGGATTTCTTTTGTGCTGACCCATGCATTGATCAAGTACCTATCTACAACTGTGCTGTCATCAGTATACCTGAAGGTACCTGGAATTAACATATCGTTGATATGCGGGAGAGAGTTGTGGACAGTACGGAACCTTGACGTACTCCGGAAGTCTATCGCCCAATGTGTGTATCGCCCAGTTTAATAAGATCGAATCGAAAACTCACTCATAAAATCCGAAATCCAATTGCAAAGGTCATTTGGAAGCCCATAAGAGTGAAACTTGCTTAAGGTTTGCATACCAGATATTGTCAAAGGCTTTATTTAGTAATGTTCAAAGACATTACAAGTGCTTCGCCTTCCTCTTCTATAGCTTCGCTCCATAAGTGTAACGCATACACAAGAAAATCACCCTCGTCGGAATCCGCACTGGCGATTACTGAGGCAGTCGTTGTCGAGGAGATGGTTGTCAAAAACAAGTTTCATAGTCTTGCAGAATATGGAAGTGCCACGTGGAAACCCACGACCTGAGAACAGGAGTCAACTGAGACACATAGTTAAGCAGGACTTATTGCTGGAATTCCATTTGGCCCGCTAGCTTTATTCACGTTTAGACTCCGCTAAGTTCTGAGTACCTGTTTTTAGCATGACGCAGACATGAATTCTCTGCAAAGAGTGAGGCAAAAAGGTTCGCCTTCTCTTCCGCAGTATGGGCCAGCGAGCCATTCGGCCTCAGCAGAGGTGGTAAAGAAGGACGACTAAAGTTTGTAACATCTTTAGCCAGGGACCAATAGGACTTCCTATCTGATGGAAAAGAGGCAAACTGGGCCCCTATACGGCGCACATGGTCGAACTTGGTTCTGCATAACACTCATTTGTACGTCTTTGCTGTCTTATTAAATTCTTCAGCTTCAGAGCATTCGGAGCTTTACGTTGTTTTTGTACTTCAGTACAACTACAATCAGCGCTAAAACATGGACGAGCTTAGGGTCTATTGGGTACATCAGAGTATGGTATGTAAAACTCAACACCTAAACGTAAGACTTCGACTACAGCATCAGCACACCTCGACGAGTTCCTTGAACGAAAGCAAGCCTGTCAGGGATATGAAACAAAGAAATGTCGCATTGCGTCCCAATTTGCTAACCTGTTTCGCCACACCCGTTTCATACCGCCATCTGATTGGGTACGGAGAGGTTTCAAAAGACAATAGACAGTGCAATTAGTCGTATGAGGCTTAACATCTGGAATCCTGGTAGCGCTACTGACAAGCTGGGAAAGGCTTAGCGTTAACGCAAATTTTCGCGTCTCTCTCCCAGGATAATTAGGTCATTTGGTGTAGGCACAACCATTCTTTCATTCCCCACAATAACTAGCTGCGCCGCTGAGCACCTATGATAAACATCAGACTACTGATTCAGATGTTGGAACATCTTGAACTGAGAATCAGACTGAAAAAGAAGATGTCTAATTGCTTGCGTCTAAAATATGTATATTTATTTTAGGGTATTTGTAATGTTGTTGATTTTTTTTTATTATAATTCGCGACATTATTGATCTTATTAGATGTGAATTATATAAAAAATAATTTATATAACACTAACTTGATGTTTTTTAGTTTTCTGACAATTTTATTCAATTATTTGGGTGACAACAGAAAAACATCCGGAAAAACCGGGTAACCGGTTCACCTAGACATAATAACCGAATAAACCGGTTCTCAATATCACTCGGTTTTTACAATTAACCCTACTAATAATCTGAACAGATTGTTACATTACAGGCGAATGTTCCCGGTGAAGGAGGCTACCGAATGTTACAAGTGTTGCGCAACGAATGCTCGGTTCACCTCCCTCACCGCTGTTATGCTCACTTTTGAACTGTTACATTACAAGAGCATGTTCGCGGTGAAGGAGCGTCCTAAAATGTAAATATCACATTATTTTAGGTTTGACTATTATATTTATATTACATTATAAGTTATACATATCAGTTGTTAGTAATAGGTTTACTTGATCGACATTATGACATGTAGGTAATGCAGTAGGTATACTTACTAATAAATGTAGATTAACTTCATCACTTCTACTCAAATACGGGAAATTCCCGCCACTCTTCAAGTGTGCCAACTTAGCATGGGGATACGACTTGTACATGTCTTCTCTAACATTTGAACTTAAGGCACTGTCGTCCCATACATCTAATATTGTTATCGGAATATTGAGTAACGCTTGTGGTTGAACATAGCATGGAGTACAGTTCAATGTCAGTCTTGAAGCCAGATCTGATTGGTTGAGTGATTCCAACTGTAATTTTTTTTTCAATTAGTAATCAGGGCTTGAAGTGATAATTATCATGTTAAATATATCTTGTTAAATTATTTTGATATTTATAAAATAAACTGGAACAACAAAATGCTACCACTACCAAATTCGTGCCATATGCTTGTATCAGGGGGTCTACTCACGTTCTCCGTCCGACATCTATCCAAAACAATTACTGTCCAATATGTAATACTCGACCTAATTAAAAGTCGCATGATGCGAATGAACCTTCATAATTGACATTGCCTTTTGATTTGGTCGAGTATTACTTATTTGACAGTAATTGTTTCGGAACGGGTATCGGTTGGAGAATAGGAGTAGACCCCCAGAGATGGATCCAATATGTGACAATCTCAAAAAATGTCACAAACCACATCATTTTCCCAAAGATTTTCCTTCGTATTTATTTAGTTTTCTGAGTGTCATTTTTTTAGTCAAAAATTAAAGAGACAGCTGTGAGTTAGTATAGATAGATACATGATAATGTTTAAATTATCAATATATTTTCAAACCTTTTTTCTTGAATCAGGATTTAAAATATAGCTGTTCATCATTTGAACTGAATTTCTTTGTTCTATTTAACATTGGGCAGAGTTTCAAACTGAGTTGCAGTTATTAAAAAATAAACATTTTAATAACTACTTAATATGTAAGATACAACAGTTAACGGACATGCAGTCAATTACACATTGCATGTAGAAAACATTAGAAATTTTAATGTTTATATAATTAACAATGCATTATGCATACGAGTCTGTATTTCATTATATCTTGTTAAATCTTATAATTATAAGTAGTATTTTTTTTAATGAGACAATATGGGGAAATCCGAAACCGTAGAAGATACAACGAAATTGTCTTAGAAACCATAAGGTTTTTTTGTGAAAACATTTTTGGCATAGTCAATTTTTTGTTCATGCGTGAGTTGTCCACAAAAACCAACTTGCTGCAACTGCAACTGCCATTCTCATTTTTTTCGTCTCGTACAATGAAATGATCCCTTCATGAAACTGAATCAATCAGTAAAAAAAATTTTGATCACTTTTATGAATTTTTATGGACGACTCACACTTGACCAAAAATTTGTCTATGATAAAATTGATTAAAAAAAAAATTAATGGTTCTTAAGACACGTAGAGGGTCTCCCTCTTAGAGGATGGAAAAACTCCCTCTATGTTAAGACAGCTTCCATGTATATTCTATGGTTTGGGATTTCCACGCACTGTCCCATTTAAAAAAACACTATAATTGATATATGAAATATAAGAATTTAACTGTCAACAGTCATTGCTATGATACTGAAATTTAACGGAAATTCCTTATGTAAAATAAATATGTGCACATTTCTTAATATACACATTTTGAAAAGTTCTATTTAACCTTCATTACAAAGGCTTTCTTGATTTTTTTTGTTTACCACATAGAAGCAAGTTTATAAATCATACCCTTGGAAGGAAATAGTATTAGTAAGGGTTTCAGCATCAATGTAAATTAAGCAGTCTAATTTATTTGCTCCCAAGAATATTCTGATGTGTTTATGGTGTTTATGTAAGGCATTTCTATACTTACTCTCTCAACCATAAAGTCAATTGATTCAGCTATTCTCCTGTCAACTTTATCTGTGGTAAAGTTACCCATGAGCATGCGTTTCAGTACTAATGAAGGCAATAACCAGAATAAGGCAGCCGAATCTTGATATTCAAATACAGTTGTATCAGTGAATGTATTGCACAATATTAGAGATACAACACGTGGACAGTTTATTGTCAACTCTGTGATTTTTTGCGCTATGAAACCGCCTAAAAATATATAAGTATTATGAATTAAAACAGATATATTTTTATATTACAATTAAATAATATGCTGATCGTGTACATTAATCAGAAAATAAAAGATTGCAAAAATTGGTATAGGTAATAATATAATTTTTTAAACTTTTCAATGCACAGTATTTTAACCATTGTACACAAATATTTATGAAGTTATATGACCATTCTTCTGATACTTGAGAGCCTATTTAAGTTCAAAATAATAAATTACACTTACCTAAAGATGCTCCAAAAATATGCACCTTATCCAACTCAAGGTAATCAATTAACCGTTTGAACCCATCACACCATTCTTTCATATTCCAATATGGAGGTGACTCTGCTGATATTACACGGACCCCTCTGCATGCCAGGCCCATGACTTGTTTGAAAAATATATCTGCTGTGCCTGATACTGGAGGAAGACATATTAGAGGACAGTTGACAGATTTAGGACCTGAATCGAAGATTTTCCATGCCTAAAAATAAAATTGAAGAATACAACGTAAATTTTACTGTATTGAAACTGTCAGATGCTCCTTGTGATGATAAGTGGTAACCACCACCTATAGACATTTCTGATATTCAGGAAGTTGAATATGTTGACAGCTGTGGTACTAGTCTAATCATAGTAAAATGCAGCAGCTTTATGATAAAAATAAGGAGGGCAGTGGTACGGTTCTGCACAGACATGGCCAGAGAATCATATAAGTAGTAAAATGTAGGAGACTTACCACATTATACTTTTATAAATTGAGATTAAGTGACCATGCTTTCTTTCTTAATTTTTGGGTTACACGCTTTGGTTTTTTAGTTAATATTTTGCTACTGCAGACAAAAAATTATTAAGTAGTGCTTTGTTTTACGAGTTAATAAAAGGAAGTAATTATTCCTTTTATTAACTCGTAGTTTTCTAAATACAACTGGTAGTATAACATTGCGGTTCGAACATTAAAAATAAATACGAAGAAAAACTGTTATAAATATATGTGGCTAAATTTTGTATACAAAACTGTGTGAAGATAACGCTAAAGAAGTCTAGATAATGTATTAGAGAAGTAAAGGGCTCTGTCCTTGATATATAAATGCTATTATACAAATAGATAATATAATTCACAAGTGTTTACCTTCGAACCGTCTGAGTCAACCACAACTTTCCTCAGTGGAATACTGCTCCTAAAACTTAAATATTCGGCAGATTGCGATAAGTCACTGATGTAACTCATTTTCGAACCAATACAGTATTTGAACAATTACGTGGTATACAAGGCCAAAGCTAAATAATATTTTATTTCACCAGATGCTCACGTAAATAATTTACTTGTTGTATGTATACGTGATACATCATGTATAGGCACGTACTTTGTTTGTTAACTTTAAATTGTGTTATTTCGAACTTTTGTTAGAAGATGATAAAGTTGAATATCGCGTGAATTTAATTTGTCAGATTGTTCTGCTTTTTTTATCCGATCTGTGTAATGCAACCTATATAGGAAAAGAGCGATATTATGCTATTTTCTATCTAGCTATCTTGCTTTGACTTGTAAAACTTGGTTAGGTCTTATTTTCAGGAATCCACCTTGTTCCACTTAATGTAGAAAACAGCCGCGGACTTCAACTAGACCTGTGCCGATCGATCAATTCTGATAACCCGGGTCGATCATGACCCATAATAAATGTAATCGGGTTAAATGATTCGATCATATGATTAGAGATGGAAAAACTGCTTATTTTTTTAAACGTTATACTTTTTTAAAAAAGCGTACTTTTTTATACGCTTTTTCACTTAGAGGCTTTTAGTTTGAAGCTAACAAAATCGTTTAGAAAACGTTTAAGCGTATAGACTTTAACGTTAAAAAAACTTGCAACGTTGTTTTGATAGTGAAAAGCAAAAGTAGACCACTAAAAGTTTTAAAATACGTAAGTTTTTTCGTAAAAAACGAGTTATATTTTTGTTTATGATATAATATTTTTATATTAACATTTTGTTCATTGGCGTTTAAAAGCATTCAAAAACATACGTTGTTTAACTTTGTAGTTGTTAATTGTTGAAATGGAAAAACTACTTATTTTTTTAACGTTAAAACGTACGTTTGAAAAGCGTGCTTGTAAAAGAGCTTTTCACACGCTTTTTAGTTTGAAGCTTAAAATATCGTTTAGAAAAACGTTTAAGCGCATTGACCAACGCTTACGCTTAAAATGAAAAGCGTGCTTATGCGCTTATTTTAAAAAGCAGACTTTTAAGTGCTTTTCGTTTAAACGCCCACCTTTACATATGATCGATCTTTTAGCGGCTTACGGTCCGGCCGGTCTTATTCTTTTTTTTTACTCGCTAGGTGAAAGGAAACATTATTTATAAGTTCAGTTTCTATTCTCAATTCGTAGAAACAATCTGATTTTCTGAGTTTATTTCTTCTTACTTGAAATCGTTACATTGGTTAAACTCTACCGCTTATTCGTAAGGCAGATTCCCCCGAGAAGTATGAGCAAGAAACTCTAGGGGTTGCTCTTTGTAAACAACATTTGTACGCATCCAACTTGCAGAAATGGAGGTCAAATGCACTCTTACATTAGAATAAAAAATAAACTGCAGCCATCGCGATATTGTCTATTCTCTAAAAATTACGTAATATAATTATTTTGAAACAGAATAGCAAAAATGGGAGAAAGAAATCCGTTACTTTGTAACATTTTCGTGGCTTGTTGCAACGAAATTAATTTTCGGTTTTAGTGAATATTTATATAAAAATACAAGTTGAAACGCGTTACTTCCTTGTGGAATGTGATGTTAGTATCTATTTTATGTTTGTCTGACGTATTTTTACACTTATTTACCGCACATTTCGAGATTTTTAGCTAAAATTCTTGAGCTGTTCGCGGTGCAAGTTGACCTTGAGCACTGACGGCTCGCCCGCTCGTAGTCGTAGGCCCATTGGGAGCGCTTCAATTTGCCTCACTTAGCGTGTGCGGACTAGGTTTCTATGCGTTATTATTCTAAGTATACAGTCACACCTGTGTTATCATTATCTTATCTAAATGAATTATGAAATAGCAAATTTGTTGAAAAAATGTTTACAATCTGTGAAATGTCACTTTGGCAGTGACAGTTGTTGGTTTGTTAGCCCTGTTGTGTTGGGTTTTTAATTTTTTTAAATTTTATTGAAGATGCTACGGTACGATGCGTTATCAAATTACATGATCATATCATATTATGCAGATCATGATGGGTGTTCCAAGGAAGAGGCGAGAGTGTAAGGGCGGGCGCCTTCAAATTAGACGCTTAAACGGCCCATTTAGTACCTGCATGGCAGTCCGCCGCTCAGCCAGAAGACTGCTCACACACTATTCGGCGTGCGGCCCACATATGGAGTCTCGCAGGACACATTGCAGGATGGCTGAAGGCAGATGAATTATGATGAATGGTGGCAGAAGGGGGCATTCATTCATTATCCTGCATTGCAGTCTGCCTTGCTGTCCGACGAATAACGCAAGATTATGAATGCAGTCGCAGCGTGCAAGCCATCCTGCAATGATATGCGCCCTGCGAAACTCCATACGTGGGCGTTCTAATTTACATTAGAAATGTCAAACTTTCCGATCGGCCAGTTGTTAATCGCAATTATGCGCCTCGACTCGGAAAAGACGCAGTTTCCGATCGGGAGTCAAAAAAAAGCTACAGTTTCATCTTCTCGCTCGGAAAATCTCTAAACTACCCGATTGGTTCGATTCCGATTTGAATCAAAATCAGCATGCTGGGCCCTAGTTCTGGTAATTTTCTAGAAACCACAGGTCATTGTAATTCCATTGGGACTCCATTGAGATTACATTTACTGTTTTTGGTATTTACTGTTAAAATCATAGATTTAGTATATCCACTAAATCTATGGTTAAAATCTAGTTGCAATGCTTAGAGGATTAGTTTCCATAGTCTAAGTTGCAATGGCAGTGGAATGTCAGTGATGGCATATTAATTAATACAGCCAATTACTAACGATCGGTGTTACCTTAATAAAACTACCACAGAAGTTATAATAATAATAATATTTTTCTAATTGCAATGGTAGGACACAAACTGACATGATTTAAAATTAGTAGACGTGGGGTCCTGTTTTTTGAGTCGTATCTAGTTTGTACTTTACACAACTGACCTTTAAGTTCATTATGATATTGTACACTGCTGTAATAAAAATTCGCTTCCATTCCGTTCCGCCGCAATTTAAATTGAGCCTATGCATGTCGCGCATTGTTTTTGTAGCTACGACCATGATCATTGACATTTCAACTTACCATAACATTAAGGTATATTACTTTTCGTCACCTAAAAATCCTATGCCGAGTCATCTCATCAGTGGGCGCCGGGCCTTAGATATCCAAAATAATAATAAATGCCATTTACTTGACGAGACCACCAATTTCGCGTCCGAAGATAGATCGACAGAACTCTGGAATGTATGTCTCACAGAGTGATAGTCCTAATAATATAATATAATCTGTCCAAAACCCGTGAGTGCTACACGCGTGGCTAGCGAGTTGAATTAAATCAAAACTGCGCCTTTGTCGTCTTTGTTCTCGAGGGCGTGGACTGCTAGTCAAGTCATCTTATTAGATATAAAAAAAGGAAAGACTGTTGTGAAAAATCGCATCCAAACACGTTCTGTTTATTATTAAATATTGTAATTAACTTTCGTGAATTTGTCTACAATGATCTCCAAACCCTTAACATGTATCTATCTTAAACCTAATTAAACTGATAACATTCTGGACGTCAAATCGGTATTTATAAGCAAAAGTTTTGACCATGAACGATGCTTTGTTAAAGATTAGAGTAGCAACAAGTGATTGTACATACATAAAGTAGCTTATTAGAAATTTAGAAGCCGAAATATAAATCTAAGCCTTACATTCATACAAATGTAACCTAATTATCTTAGTGCATACTAACCATTAAAATTCATTTTCACTTAGGTATTTAATGTACATTACCGATAATTTCATGAGTAACTAAATATAAGATAATTATATGCATGTACTCTATCTTAACATAAGTATTGAACCTTTCATTAGTGTTTATTACATAGTAGGTACTAATTTGTTTGAGCATAATCGAGAATCTGAATGTTATGCGATAAAATCTCTGTACATCATAAATTTGCATATTTTAGAATGGCAAAGGTATTTATTTACAATATGGTATATTTGGTGTTTCATTAACTATTTATTATTACTTTAGTTAATTTTTCGTACACTTTAATATTTTCAGTGAAACCCAAGATGTTATTTTACTTCAAAACTTTAAAAGCACAACAAAGATGTCAATTAAAAATGGTTATAATCAAAATCTTGTTTGTAATTACGCCTTTCAATATTGCATTAAAACTAAAAGAATTAAACTAAAATATATAAAATAAACAATCAAATATATTGGCAATAATGTTTTACAATCACAGAGTCTTGTTACATATATTGATGAAACTAATTTATATTTGTATATTCTGACGCATATTCGTAAATCTAAACTAAAATTTGGCACATTTAGCGTTAAATAATTCGTCTTTTAAACGCTCTAATAAATTATCGCTACAATCGCAGGTTCCTAAATTAAATTCACCAATCATAGAGCGCAAATACAAGTTACACTGCTTTGATTGGCTGATAATGAAAAACAAGATAACCCATCTTGTCAATCCTTTTTTTAAACTAGTCAAATTGAGTATAGGTTTACAAATGTGCAAACACATCATATACAAATATTTACCTTCTCTAATAAAAAATACCCTAATATTTACGTAATGAGAACATGCGATCGAAATTATTAAAACAAAATTGTAATGACTCATACACTGATATTAGTAGTATTAAAAATATTATCTATCCAGTTCAAACAAGCGCTACGGACTCCACACTAAAACCGACCATTCTACATCATCCATATTCAACATTACTATCAAAACTTCTCCAAATTATTGCTTTGAATAAAACGACTACTGAACACTAGACATTATGAATAAAATATAGATTTATATAAAACAAGAATGTCTACATGAAATAGAAGTTACTTCTATTAAAAATAAATAATAACTAGCACACTGTTGATTGTAAAAATATGAAACTATTAACAAAGAAAATGTTAATTATGTATAGGACTTTTCCTGTGTAACAATCGCGAAAACCTAAAAACTCGATATGTTAATTATGTAGTTAAATGGTTTATCTAAGATGGTTATTCCTTACGTTTTTCCACAATCTTTACCTCCCTTTGTGAATAAATTTCTCAGGCTGGTTCTATTGCGGCTAGGAACTTGAATTATTTATTGAGAATTTCAAATTTATTGGTGTGCTTTTTGCTTTCTACACGATTATAAAAGATAAAATTCTATGGTGTCTTGAAAATTTCGTTTATGATTAAAAATGGTGCTCAATAGAATGGAATTACGTGTTGGTACCGGGAACACAAATTGCGAAATTATTTACGCAGTATGTATGTGTGACCGATCATTTGCAGTTGTAAACAATGATGTACACAATGTTGCAATGGAATGAGTAATCCGAATGATATTATTTATTTCTTTTGTAATATTCAACGACTGTCGATAAGATTGATTCGTAAATATTCTATATGTTACAATATAATATGATTGCCATGTTGCGATGTCGGTACGATTGAAAATAACATACAAAATTTGGAATTCTTCCGAAAATTCTGTGATTTTCTGTTATATTGGCTGATTTTAAATTCGGGACTTAATCCTGTATGAAAACATATTTTATTTACTAGACATTTCGGACGTATTACAACATCCATGGCGTCGAAGTGACGGAGTCCAAATTTAAAATTTTATAATGTGTGAAAATTGTGGAAATATAAAATTCCATGTTTATATTGGCATTTCCAAGATACCGATATAACGTTAAATTGATATTTATGGTTAATTAGTAGAAAATACACAGCTGAATGTGTTGAAGCCCTTAAGGAACAATTCAAAACTTATGTAATAGGTCCTGGTTTAGTGTATTGTTAATTTATTAAATCTTTTTGTTTACCTATTTATTTACATATTACTTTATAGTATTTGAATATATGTATATAATTTTCTTATGGCATTTCATGCGTATAATTACTAGGTTCCATATCATACATCAATAAAAACCTTATATTGCGAGTCCATTGGTACTTAACTTGTAACAAATTAGTTTCTATTGTTCTATTGGGCAGTGTGCTAGTTACATTTAATTTGATTTATAAAAACAATACAATTGGAATTTGTGGATATTAGATTTCGCAAACGCTGTAGTCTTAAATAAAACGTTTCCTTCTATTAGTTTTGAAATAATTTTATTCGATTAATTTAATTGTGATTGGTATCTATTTTGCAACTATACATTTTGTTTAAAAATACTAAAAATATTATAAAGAATAATAATAGTGTTGGTGTTTAGTGTCAATTACAATATTTTTGTTACTTGTATTCAAGTCCTCCACTCATATTAGGTTAGCATGTAGGACTATGACGTTATGCCCTTTTCTCTAAAATCCCAGGAACTAGTAGTATTTGGTTGATGCAGATTACAGGTTTTTACAATTGTGTGGGTTCTTAAATAACTAATTCGTTAAGCAAAAAGGGAGGCTAAAAGAAATGAGTTCAGGTTTGGTAGGCATTACGTAGACGACATTCTTACTAGCGCGCCGCGACACGTCACAGACTACATCTTTTCACAAAATCACGTACCAGCCGTATTCGTACAGTATAGTTTTGGAAACCTCGGCGTATGAAAGAGAAGGTCGTTTGCGTAGCGCCTAAAGAGAATGCTAGAATAAGAGAAGTTTCTAAGTATCAAAGAGATCGGTAGGTCCGTACGCGATTGCGGGAGATTGCTCGCGCGGGGATGTCCGCGGGGGTACAACGCGGGGCGCTGGGGAGGAGCGGGCCTCACGACTCGCCGTTGCCGCTGTCGTCGCCGTCGCCTTCGCCGCCGTCGAGCTCCTCATCCGAGTCCGAATCGAGGTCGTCGTAGTCGTCGTCGTAGAAATCCGTCATGTCCAACTGGAATGAAACAAATGATGATCGATTAAAGATATAAACTATAAAAAAGGAGTGCAACAATTCGTTCGCAATGATTTTTTTAAATAACATTTTCCACATTTTAACAAGTCCCGTTACACAACAAGTAACGGGACGAACAAGTCGTGCGCCTGATGGTAAGATACACGCCTGTCCGTAACAGTTACAGTGCCAAGCAGAGCGTTAAATCGCAAAGATCTGAGGGGCACTGCTACTACCACCCGTCACCCTGAGATATAAGTTGACAATGGGACTCGTCCCATTACCCTTCAAAACCGGAACACAATAATGATGACATTACTGCTTGGCGGCAGATATAGGTAAGACGACAGTACTACCCTGGACGAACTCTTTCACAAGAAGCTTTACTGTTACTATTGTATTGTATGATTGTGCCAACGTTATATGGGTGTGTTGTTTTGTTAATAGTGGTTTAAGTTACATTGACCATTCTCAGACTGCAAATTTTCACACTTCAATTTACAATGGCTTGTTAACACGGGTTAAGCAGTCTGTGATAACTGGAAATAGATATATTGCTTCTTGCATACATACAGTGAGTTGACAAGTTTTAAAATTATGAATCAATTATCAAACATTCCAAGGAATATACTTCTCCGTACTTCTTACCATGTAACTATATAGGACAAGTGAGCTAGCGAAATAAGTGAGCTTGTATCTATCTTATGTGCCATATCCGCGTCAGCAAAAGTTGAATAAAAAATGACAATAGTGTTTTTCATAGCTACCAAATCTACCTCAGTGTGCATGCTTGTCTCTTTGTGATATTCGAGAGAATAGTGCTTCTTATTAAACCCCAAGTGGAAAATAAATACAACGAAATAAATAATTAATAGAGAATTCTTCGGCCAAGTGTCGAGCAATCAACAGCACCTTAGAATGTACAGAGGCGAAACACGTGTCGAGTATATTTTTGGTGGTGGTGTCTGTGACTGTAGTTGCGCTTGTGTTATTTATTTTATTAATTCTATGCGGAGGGAGGGTGGCAAAATTTATTGTATGAAAAAAATATTCAACACAAGCGCAGCTATTTTGCACGATTTAACCTTCACTGGGTTCGCAGAGTAGCAAATTAATTTACTTCCATTTTTATTAACGAAATAAATTACATACTTGTGGTTCTTGCGTCTGCGACTTGACTTGTGTCTTAATACAATAGTCTTCTAATGTTAGGGGTACTACTATGCCTTCCTTCTCCGCCTCCATACGCGCCACTTGCGCTTGTTTCCTGAAAACATATAAAAGTATTATTAATCATTTATAATAACTAAACGGCAAATATAATAACTAAATGGCAAAAGTACTTTAGTTCTGGTTAGGTAAGCCAGAGAGTGATTAATACCGCTATCAATGATCGTCAATATTGTATAGTCCGTACTCTGTGGCCAAGCATTGAGAAATTTGGGTGCTAGATGAGGAGTTCGATTCCAGATAGGCTCTGTTTAGGAACGAAAGATATTTTCTTAATCGGTTCTTAATTCCAGACATCAATTTGTTCCATAGTATTTAATAGGATATAAAATTATTCGGAGAAAAATGTACGTACTTTTAATATTATAGGTAACAAAAACACAATGCTCATTTTGAAAGTTGAAATGGTTAAAAATTTTATACAGCATAGTTTGACAACCTTTTTAATGTGTTTAAATTTATGTTAATATGGAATAAACATTGAATCGAATAAATTTTTAACTGTTAAGTAAAGGACTGAATAATTTATAATATAAATATTGGATAATTATACCTATTGTCTCTACAATATAGTTACCGTTTAGTTAGGCGTGTACTGGGTGGTCGATTCAGAACCTTCCGATAACTTAGTTGTCGATCGACTCGATGTGTATCGTACGATTTCTTTTCATTTTCACTCACAACACCTGAATCGAACGTTAAACTGTCGTATTCGAAACCGAACCGAAATGACGTCATACCCTGTACGATGACTAGAACTTCTCGACCGGCAAAGACTACAAACGTTATTCAGAACACAGCTATCGAATGAAAGTTACCGAACGTCCTAATGTTCACAAAGCAAGAATGTAATATGGAAATCTCTTATTATTTTAAATAAAGTCCGGGTTTTGTTCAATTTTATTAATTTATTTTAATGCAAGACTAATGCATTCCTATATTTTAGGCCTTTAAAGCCATACAATGTATTTAAAAAGATTTTCATTTTTCTTATAATGTATTTCACCGACTAATCCCGTAAACGCTGTTGGATAACGATATCGTATCCGAATCCGAATCGAACGTTTAACTCGAATGTTCTGAATAGCTCGGAAAGCGTCCTTCGATTCGAGAACGATAGCCAATAGGGTTAAAATGTCGAAGAGATCTGAATCGGGGTCCTAATCGGGAGTTTTTACATGTAATTTAATAATATTTATTTATTTATTTCATACATACAGCTATTTATAGAGCCACTCATATATGTTAGGAAATAGCTAAAAGCAAATTTGACCTTTACATAATTGTTAGTGGTAGTCGCTCACTTTTGTCTATAATTTCAGCAGAAAGGAAAATATAAAGAAAGTAATGGACGAGGAAGTATTATAACTCCTATTTTCGTTTGTTGGATAAATAGTACTATTTTCTAAAGCTCGAAGCTTCCGGAGCCTTTCAAGTTTTACGGAAACAGACGATTATTATATTATTAATCTCCTAAGGCCTCGTGTACATCAAAATGTACATAATATGTGAAGCGTTTCAGACCCAGATAATATTAATCATATGACCACGTAAACAAACGCCCATTGTACATTATAATGAAAATATGGTATTCAAATTTAGCGCTATGTTTACTATTTACATGATTATGCGTTATCTAGAAAAATACGTTTTTCATTCAAAACTGAGGATATATTTATTAGCTTGGGCTTGAAGCATGTAATTATATTTAGTAAATTTTAAATTGGGCGTTCAGCGTTATTTCCGTTATACTTTGCTAGGTCTTAGGAGGTTAAGAGACTCTTCAGTCCGGTAAAAAAGTTTTAGTCAACTTTAATTCGATTAAACACTGCGATGGAATTCGAGATCCAAAATGTTAACAAACATCTGTTACTGTCAAAGTGATATCTCATAGATAACAAAAATTTTTTCTTCGTCTCAATAAATCAGTTAAGGGTGTGTTTTTTGTTACGAAGCTTAGCTATTTACTTTCTTAATTTACTAAACTTCTAACTATTTACTTTCTGAACTAAATTTTTAATACCTACCTCTTAGAATATTGGTACTTCATCAATGGCATACAACAAGAAGCATATAAACAAAGAGGACAGCCAAAGGTTGTTAATCTCGAAACATTGTCATTAGGATAAAAAATAGTACAAGAATCATATCGAGTTCTTAGGTTTTCGCGATTGTTACACATAGGAAATGAAACTATTTTTCCGGATTTAAATCGCGTATATTTGTTTTTTCAAACAAACCGACGTTTTGTTTGAAAAAACAAATATACGCGATTTAAATCCGGAAAAATAGTTTCATTTCCTAAGTACAAGAATCAGTTTTACGAGCTTATGTTATTAAATAGAGTACTTTAAAAAATACGTTTCGATAATATTTTCTTTGTACGTGCAGATAATTTAAGCACAATATAAAAAAATTGAGTTTTGTGGACTTTTCATACACCATTGCACCATTTTTTTTTTTTTGAATAGGCTTTGTTTACACTTTTCATCTCGAATTTCATGATGAGAATAGTTAAACACGGTTACGATGTTTCGATACCTAGACCTATGTACATGTTTTAAAAAAAAAATACAAGACAATTTAAATAAACATTGAATGACACTGCGAAACCTTAATCGAACATTAACCTTATATGTAAACGATTAAAATATAAAAGAGTATTTTAATCGTAATTGCAGTAGCGAACTAATGAACGAGAAAATTATAATGTCAAATAAAATATTAGAGTCAAAGAGGTTAAAATGCAATAATAAATTTTCGTTAAAATCGCTTATTATACCTAAAATTATATACTACAATATACTTGGGTCGTATTCTAGAACTCTACTCAATGTTCAAGTCAGGACTTGAGTATGATTCAAAGCACTAAAAATCATACTCAAGTCCTTGCTATTAGGGTGGTATTTCCAGTGCTTGAAATCATACTCAAGTCTGCTCAAATCCTGACTTGAGCATTGAGTACAGTTCTGGAATACGACCTTTAGAAGCTTAGACTTGAGCAAGATGTAAATTATTTTGTTTGAGAGAGTTGATTTGCTGATCTACGGACGGAATTGTGTCCTCACTCCTTAAAGGAGAAACGTGTATTTTACATTTTGTACACTTAGTTCACCTAAGACCATTTTTATCGTAAGCGGCATAGGGTTGGATTTAAACTGAAGTGTCAACTTTGACGTGCCCTGGACTTTGTACGTTACAGTACGACGTACAACGGTTACAACTTATACCATCAAATAAAAAAAATATACACCTTTTGAACAAGTGCACTATATCGTGGTGGCTGATTTGAACTAACAGTATAAGCTACGTCAAGAGTAAAACCAAGAAAACCTTCATACAAAGGTGTTCACTTCTTTCTCGTTAGGGACAAATTTAATGGGTGAAACGTGGTTGAGCTTCTTTCTTATCTCTTTCGTTTATAATTGAGGATCGTGGTCATTTATTACACAACATGTCTCCTACTTTTTCGTTCCATGGTCGCCCTCACCGCGTGTTACCTTTACTGGGTCACACCATCTTGATGACCATTGGCCATGGGCCCTTCAACTTTGCTAACAAGCATAACCCTTCCAGGCAACCATCGGTAACTATGCGGCTGCATTTACGTACGTGAAATTTCGCACGATAGTGGCAAATTAAAATACAATGTAAGTGCGATACCTGAGCGCAAACAACATTGTGTTTTAAGTAACTTATGACAAACTTGTGTATATTAAATTACTAGCGCGTTTTACCGCTACTTTTGTGCCTAGCCTTAGAACAACATAAATAATTTATTTAATATTAATCGGATGTCGAAGCTGTGGAGAAACGCCTTCAAAGTTGGTTGTCAAGGCTTTAAGGACGCGTCGCGTGTTGACAGCAAGTTGCAATGAAAATCAGCTATTTGTGGACATTGGTCCATCACATCGGTCGCTTTCATGAATGAATCATGCTCTCATAAAAATTCACATATTTTTACAGCGATTGGATTGTCATTCTGCCAACATTTTATGGATTACATAGGTGTCAATAGTGACGACGTCAGTAGAGCCGGATATTGATGTGAATATGTGATATTGTAAAACCCACATAGCACCTGTAATTTAATTTTATGCACACGTGTCTGGTTATAGTTAAAACTACGATGTACAAGTCATAATCATAATCAATAACCCCTATACATTGTATAGCTATGACATGTCTAAAGAGGGAGGGAAAACCGCAATACTAATACTTATAAATTTCGAGGGCGCTAAGGAAAAACCGAATTTTCATTCATTGTAATTTCGTTGTCGTTATTCCCCGTTTAATTACGAATAAGCATAATACTCTATAAAAATAGCTAAAAATCCCAGTGTATTCACCTGATAATATTCTCGTACTCCTTGTCCTTGCCCTTGGAGTCGCGCCAACGGCGGTACATGACACTGGCGTCCACATTCGCCGGGCTAAAGGTATTCGGTTCGTTGAGAAGGGAGATAACCGAGAGAAGAACTGTGCGAACTGACTGCGTCGGGTTCCAGCGCTCGCAGGGCAGCTCGCCGGATTGAGGATCGTCTACTGGAGGATGCAGGATAGATATGCAGAGATCACCATTCTGAAAATTTATAATCTGGGTATTAAAAAAAATGTTGAAAAATTATCCGTAACTGGTCCATACAATAATGTTTACTTCCGTCACTAGAGAACTATCGAAAGTTATCGTGTATAGTGATGCTTTTCTATTACAAATTATTACCTTGACACTGATATCCAATAGAAACACGTCATATGCTTCCGACAACCGCAACTATTGTTTTTGTGCGGGAATAAATAATCTAATCCAACTTCAACATATTATCGTGTTCTTCGAGCTATATTTTTTCTATATTTTTATTTAGAAAAACAAACGATCATATAAATCGCGGTAGAGTCTTCAGAATCAAGACAATCGTTATAAAACTTAATTTCGATGTTGGATCCTTGACTAATAAAACGTTTACAAAAGAAGTCGAGTGGCCACGGCATAAGATCGTTCTATTATTCTGTGCCAATTTTATCAAAAGTACCTACTAGTGAACAACAATATTTGACCTTCCGCATTGTAATTGAAATCACAGGCAAAAAGAATGATGAACTCAAATTGACTTTTGCCATAATCTTAGCTGAAGTTTTTGATATTTTAACGCACGTTTGCGCTGTGATGGTTACTACTTAGTTACACAAAGGTTTCTAAACAAGAATCATTAATTCCAGCCATAAAGATAGATCAACTTGATATCCCCTTATCCCTTCAAGGCGCCTGACCCTAATTTGTGAGAAACGTTATTGACGAGAGCAGTTGGCCTCCAACAATGTTGAATGTTACTTACCCTGAAACAGGAAACATATTCCCGGAAAAAGGAAAAAAAGTCAAGAATATAATAATAATACAAAGATGTGCCAAAGGCGTTTCTGGCTGCAGTTCAACGACCAAAAGAAACTATTTTCAGGTTATAATAATTTGGCGTTTTGAAACGAAAATATAGCGAGTGTTGTATGGCAATCAACTGTAATTTGGTCGAACACACCAATGCCCTGATACACGACATAAATGTACAGGCGTCAGTTTCATAATAGTATTTCATAATGGAAAAAGAGTTTGTTGAATTTATATCCTCAGAATATCTCTGATTCAGTGCCTTCTCATGAAAGGCAAACTAATTTCATTCGTTCATTTATATTCAAAGAATCAAATTTTCTAAGAACACGCCGTTGACTGCCGTGACTTGTTTACAGGTCTCACTGCGAGATAGAAAATAATAATTTTCTCTTTGTGTTTTCGTTTTCCTCAGTAAACCTCCCCTCGCGTTTGTTGAAGGTGCTGCTGAAGCTATAATACTACTATTTTCATTTTGTACCAGAATAATCATAAAAATGAACGTGTTTAGACGCCAAGCACATACATCGGCACGTCATCGTTTTGTCTGAAGGACGAATATATGAAGCCTTATAACTCGAGGAAAATAGTAGTCAATTCGTCTCGCATATAAAATTTAATTAAATGAGTACTGTAGCCCGGTAGTATTCATTCATGATACGATTTAATGCTTCGCGGTTAGAACCAGATTTCGTTTCCGCTATACGTAACTACGTTGCATAAAATCTATTGTTACCTATTGGTTATTGCCCATCCTCATAATAACTTACGTGGTAAATTTTCATGGCATACTAAATAGCTAACGTTTTCTTTGTGTCCATAATATCGAAAGTATATTTCGCACTTGACAACTAACATAGTATTATCTCAAAATTGCGTTATATTAATAATATATCTTCAAAATTTCGCTGTATTTGTATGTCATTCGTATACGATTTCATTGAAAGTGACAACACTGTCGCTTTGAAATGAAATAAGTAATATTAATATAATTTAAAGCAATTTTGATAATACTATGTTAGTTGTCATGTGCGATTTGTAACTTTACTTTTTCGCGTTTTCGATTGTGATTTCGTGTTTGTAATCTGTGGTAATCGCTGATTTGCTTATGATGCTGGTTTGAAAACGAATTTATGTATTGAGCTAACAGGAATCTTGAGCTTCGAATGACTTTACATTATTTGATTGTGTTATTTTGACGTCTATTGATAAAACAACGTTGACTAGAGTACTTGGAATTTGATTTATTTCATCGGTAACTTTCAGCTCTACGACAACGGTTAAATTTTGTCATAATTTTAAAAACATTGAGTACATATTTAAGGTGTTGTCATATCGATTACTAAATAACACGTGATTATGATTTTGACAATATCGTAGTAAACGTGATAAGTAAATTATTAGTTTAGGCTCAACAATGATAGAGGATAGTAATTCAAAGTCGCAAAACAGGTGGTAATGTCCTTTTCTAAAAAAAACGTACTTTTAAACAAACTGTCTTGCGGTTGTGGTATAGGTTTTTTTCCGAGAAAAGAGTATAAATGGTAATTAATGGTTTGCTAGTTATAGATACCGCAAAAAGCCACCTATTTCTGTAAGAGTCAGAATGGCGGGTGTACCTTAACGGATCCTGTTTGTGTGCACCGTAATACGTGAATACGAACACATCTATCCTTAGCGATCGATTCGCACACACAGTACTTTTACAGTTACTGAATAAACAATTTTATTATATTATTATTACAGTGTCACAGTTCGCTTCCCCGCAATTATGAAAATTTATAACATTATTTCGGACTTCTGATAGACAACCCTATGCCATTAAAAGAATCAGACAATAAAACATTGTTACTTATTAATAGCATTTAATAGTCTTTAAAACATATTATTAACATCAAGGCGACTCTATAGAATCGTTGTCCAAAATCTTTCTTTGTTAGTTTGTGGTAATCTGAAAAAATGTAAATGACGTAACTGGTCTCTTTCTCACGTTTGCGCATACCATGTGTAAGAAAAGGACAGGCAGCTACTTTTAAATATGCTATATAATATTATTAATGTCAGCCAAGTGACATAAATCAGTAATTACGAGAATTACACTTTTGGTTTCGCTGTAACTTCGTTACGATAGAGGTACAAATTTTTTAAGAATAAGTACTAAATAGTACAATTTTGGTACCAAATATGTCAGGATTCGTTAAGATGGACACGGCACTCTCAAATCTCAACATGTTTTGTCTTATTTCTCAAACAAACCACCAGATCGCGTTGGAGTTTCCTTTACTTCAGAGAACTATTAAGGTACGGACAACGTCACATCAGGGGGTCTACTCTCGATCTCCGTCCGACATCCGTCCGAAACAATTGGGATTGGGATTGCCCCCCAGACTATACATTTTTATTCGAAAATCGCCTCCAGTGCAACGGAACAAGATACGTCAAAATGTAGCTTGATGTGCTGGCGTGTGTACAAATTTTTGGAATAATAAGTTTTTATAGTTATTAAATAAATACTGGTAATCCGAGGTACAACCGCCATATTGACAGTCAATAAGACGGGTGTACCTTTGATATTGCTATAACTTCGTTCTGAAAGAGGTACAATTTTTTTAAACAGAGGTACTAAATAGTACAAATTAGGTACTTTTTTTGATACCAAATTTGTCTCCGATTGATCCGTTAAGGTACACTCGCCATTCTGACTCTCACCTATTTTTCAAAAGAATATATTGTAGAAATATGTATCCCAATAAAGTTACTTAAAATAGCCTTTTTAGGAGTGCACACAATGATATATTAAAGGCAATTATGGTGGCTGACTCTAAACTTTTAAATAAAATGGATGAATTCGCGCTATAATTTTTATAATTAATATATTTTTTTTAATTTGTCTGTGGTCTACACCGAATTAAAAAAAAATATAAATTTTCCCATTTTACTTATATATCTTTATAGAAAAATTATATAAATTCTGGGTGATTAGTGACGCAGAAGATAAAATTTCAAATACGATTTCATAATCCTGAATATTTTTTTCAAGACTGATCGCACTAAAAATTATTTGATTGCATGAACGAGCTAATAAAAAAAATATCAAAGTGGTGTGTAGGGTAAGGTCGGAAAGAGTTCTGGTAAACAGACACAGGGACAATTTTAAGTTTTTAATGAATATTAAAAAAATATTCATGAGCGTGTTGCGTTATTATTATTAATTCATCAATAAACTACTGAAATTAGGGTTATTAAAAACATTTTTTTTACGTTCACGACAGGGCTTGTTAAAAACTCAAATAAACAGAAACAATATGTCATTATACTAAAACATAGTAAGTCCCTATGATTTGCTTGCTAAGAATCGACATAGTGAAGAATGATTTCAGTGAAACAGAGGGAGAAAGTTAGAAGGGGTTGCAACGGTAGGGGGAATGGAGCTATTATGAATGCGCCCCCGCTTGTAACCAATTTATATGGCGATGATAAATCAAATGGAATTTCATATGGCGAACTAAAACGATAGAATGATATGTAAAATAGAGAAAATGACAGAAAAATGTAGAGACCAAACGTAAATGTATTAATTACTATTTAGCAGATAGATAGTAAATAATCTCAGTACAGAGTACTAAAAAATATATATAAATAGGTTCTCACTACGACACTACTCTAAGTATATAGAGAGAAAAACGCCTTGAATTGGAGAAATAGCAAAATCAACTAAATAATTGCTAAAAGTAATTGCTCCTAAATTAAAGTTAGGCGCTATTTATAAAAATGAATCTTCGTGCGTGAACAGCCACCCTTTGAGGCGGATGATTTTCTTCAAAATGAAATGGGACCATTATGGAAATACCCCCTTTCCAACAAAAAAAGAATCATGAAAATCGGTTCACAAATACCGGAGTTATCGCGTAACATACATACAAAAAAAAACAAAAGAAAAAAAGAACATACAGTTGAATTGAGAACCTCCTCCTTTTTTGAAGACGGTTAAAAATAGTTGACGTTTCTGTTTGACTGATTCTATTACAAGTTCATTGAAAACTCAACACTATATAATGAACATGGCAACATTATTTTACAAACTGACATTAGTAGCTGTCATTTTGTTATTTCTAATGAGAAAACTGAGCAAACCATCCAAAAAATAGTTGACGTAAAAATTAAGAAAGACATTGGTCATTTATAATAAACAATGTTGA